CATCTCATTTTCAGAAGTTGCTTTGTTACATGTTGAAACAAACATGCTTTACGTAAGACTTTAACATTACTCTTGAGAGGCAATTTTCTTGTAGGTGAAGAGAACACGTGAAACTCGATCAGAAGCAATACATTTATTTAAAGACATATTTCTGGCAAAATAGAAACTTATCGTGTGCTGTGTATTGGTCACTGAACCCGTTCAGTGGACAGGTTCCACACCTAATGACTTCAAACCCGCCGAGCCACCATTCTGGAAAGATATCTCTGGAATGACGTAATTTTCCGCTTCAAGACCCAGATAAACTCGAGGACTATGCTCAAATTAACCAACCCCGACAGCTTATTCATCTCGAATACTCCCTATTTAAGTGATGTCATGCCTGTATATACAGTAATAGATCTAGCGATATTCATCCATCCATCATATTCATACCGTGGAAGTGGAACACAGATAATTCAATTCAATTCAAGCCCGATAATGGAACTTATTCTCTTCTAGTTACATCAGGACACATTCTCACGTCCTTTTTATCAAGATGTATTTTAATATTATTCTCTCATCTACGCGTAGGCCATCCAAGTGGTTTATTTCGTTCAAGCTCTGTGGATAAAACGATTAATTCAGGCTACCAAACTACAATGGTTACTTAATCATCACGCTTACCACGGTTACCGCGGCTGGGATCTAACCCGGGATCTTTCAAATGCTAGGCTATTACGCTAACCAACAGACCATCGGAGTGTCACCTAAATCTAAATAATCGAAGTCGAATGCCGTTTGTGATATCTCGATGCATATTAAAGGATAACCTAAGTATATAGGCTAATTACACAGATCGGAAACTACGTTTAGCCAATGAACCCACTCAGCAGAAATTTGCAAACACAACTACTGTGTGGAGAAAACCACTTTAACTTCATGATTGTACAATTAAAATGTGTTCAGTGCTAGGGCATCGTTTTATTAACACGGAGCTCAATGATATACAAATGCCAACATTTATATCCCATACCTATTTAAATTTGTATTTCAATTTCTCTTTAGCGAACCGTGTACACATTTGAATCGCAAATAAAATTGATGATTATAATGTTTACCCCCAGGGATAGTATAATTAACTAGTAATTACCAGAACTGACTAATTTTGCATGAATAGCTTTCACGGCGTTTGAAAATAAAATCTTCTGGGGCTATAAGCCGTGTCAGTTGGTTAAAATTCACCGACGTTTCAGAGATTATCTCTTTCACCTACATCAGGCCTCTCGGCAATTATATATGAGGGATGGTCTGGACAGAGTTACTTCACAGTCCTACCGATGCAGTCAGAGATGGTCACTGAAATGTCGGTGACTTTTAACCAACTGACAAGGCTGATAGTCCGAGAAGATTGAATTAATAAATAACACTTTACGACTTCATACGGAAAAGTATTTATTTTCCGAATTATATTACTTCGCTCAGCTAAATCCCAATAAACTAATAGACAGGCATCATCTACAACTTCAATGCTATCTTTATGCCTGAGAGAGAGTAGACTAATTTGAGAAGAAGGAAAACAACTCATTGATTTCTTAGCGGTTCTGGAATACCAATATCCTATTGAACAGTGACAACTGTATGTTTTATACACACGACGTTCCCGAAGTTGGCCGTACATTCGTCTCCAAGCGATTGGATGTGAAGGTCTCGTGTTTGAGCCAGACTGTCACCATTACACTTAAAATAAAAACAAATAATAATTCAAAGCTGTCAGTGTAATGACAACAAATTACCTTATATAAGAGGCCTGAAGGTTGGTCCCTACTCGCTAATAGAGCGAAGCATAACCTTGATCATCTGTTTAAATCAAGCGGCTTCTGAAAACATAAATCTCCCTCGTCTTTCCTCGCATTATGTTGCCAGATAACATTTTAGTCTGGTAGATTAGAACGATTTATGGGGACGGAAGATTAAGTTAGCTATGTTAACTTTGTAGAGTGTAGGACGACAATTTTAGGTTATGTTATGCTTTGTTCCTTGGAAAATGGTAATAAAAAACGAACTACCCAAGAGATTTCACGTCATTTGCTGAACGTTTTGATCATTTCAAACATGGGCCCAAATATTGTTTTGCAACGTCATGTCAATGTGTGCCATTCCACCTTGTATCGACGAATCATGGTATAAATTTCACTACCATGGAAATCACCACAATTTATAATTTTCTGACAAAATGACCTTACAAAATTCGGAAAAAGGAAAGTAAGGCACCGAGGGTTACTGTCTTTTGAAGTGTTTCGCCTTGTAGCCTTGTGGAATTTTACTGGCGTTTCAGAGGTACATGATGCCTCCATCATCAGGCTGATGAGTTCCTGATTATGGAAGCAGTTAGAACATCTGAAACATCCGTAAACTTCTACCAGACTACACACAGCAACATCCTACAAGACCGCCTTTTTCATACATTTCGTTACGTGTCTGAATCCAATTTTGTGGTGATGTTTTTTAATTCGTCACGTCAAGAAACCAACTGCATTCCCATATGAATCTTTACGGCCTCTGAAGCCACTGGGTTGTTGCGCCGTGTAGTCTGGTATAATTTCACCGACGTTTCAGACGTCCCTGCTGCCGTGAAAACCTCAAATCCTACATTCTAGACATGGTGACTGAAAAAATCACATGAATGGGAATAGAGAAACTGGCTACTCGCAACCGAGGCAAACACGCTACCAACTTTGCTATTTCGAACATAAACACCGTTTCTTTGGCGAAACTTTACGAGGTAACAGTGAAGAAAGTGGAAAATAAAACAGCGTATTACAAAGAAACAGTGGTGTGTCGTACACAATATTTTCGACAGAAATCCAAATTTGCATGACGTACACGACACTAACGTCCATAATACATTTATCATAACTAAAAAAACACACGTTGAACTTTTAATTAAAATATAAAAGTACATATGACTGCCATTTCAAACTCACTCTAGCCTCTTCAGAATCACCTTCTTCCAATATGGGTCATTTTTAGTTCATGTTGCCATCTTACGATGTCCAAACAGGTTCCTGTGATTTTATTAGTTATCTCCAGGCTAATTTTGGAACACTCCAAAGAGTCCACGAACGCTTTCTTCTAGGTTCATTCCAACTTATCATTCAGACAACCATACAAAAATTCAACTCCGTGTAATCTAAATAGTTGAATCGCCATCGCTGAATATATTAAGAATCAGTTTTATGATTGAGCAAACTATAATACATCATCGAAAAGAGTCGATTACGAAATTCCTCGCCTTGCATATAACCTGAAGATTCATTAACGTCTTCATAAGTGCCGGCCCTACACTGTGCGAGCCGTAAAATTCCAGAGACAGTGGCCTTGGACTTGTAATCCGACCACACGCCTAGCAAGACCTATGTGAGAAACTGCCTGCCGGCTACTTGATCGGCAGCAGTGACTCACGGCTACTTGCTGCGAGGAACAAAAGACGATCGATAGAGCAACAGGGTCGGCAATGCAGCGCCCTCCTTCGTTATTCAGATATACAAACAGCACAAAACTTGTAGGAACTTCTTCAGCCGACTGTGGAGTAACGTCCGTTACAGCGTTGTGTTACAGTCTTGCTTTTTAATCCCACATCAGGAATGGACAGTGTGTGTGTTTGTCATAACCATCTTTATCGCCATTATGAATACTTTGTCCTTACCTCCTGCAAGAAATAATTTTCAACTGCAGGGGTTTCCTAGGATTCTGTCATAACAATGAAACGCTTTGACATCAGAATCTCCCTAACGTAAATACATATATTGATCGACTATAGAATATGAAGTAGATATCTATCAGGATCGGAAAGGATACATAAAAGAACTGTCACTCTCTTGAAATGTCTGTTTCATGTCGTTATGATGCGTTTCCAACGAAAAGTTAAGACATCAGCTTTTCAACTACGCCGTGTTTATTTCTCATCCGTCTGACGGCACATTCAACGCCAGAATACCCGAACAATAAATTCGGTATTGGGTACATTTACTAAATATGCCTGTCTTCTGGGTTGATGTGACGTGTAGTCTAGTAAACGGTCACAGAGTTTTCCGAGGCACGTGCTGCCTCCATCATCAGTGCGATCTGATCGTTACACAATGCAACAACCCAGAACACAACCATCTTCTTACTCGCCTCCATGAGAACCTTAAATCTCACATGGTATTCTGTCTGCAATTGCTCAATCAGCGCACCTTTAGACAACAACGTCGAGGCGATGAGGAAATTCAGGCGATATGCGCTGTTACACTTCAGAATTGATTAAAGCAGTTAATCAATTTGTAGCTGTCATCAACTCAGACATTATAGCGTCCACTGATAAGCTGATCAATGGACAATGAAACGGAAAGGACATGGAAGTGGCAGCGCATAAGCGTCTGGAGTGTCTGAATAAAACCACGAAATACCTCGGTCAGCATAGTCTGCTCCGGGCCGAGGTTTAAACCCGGAGCATCCCGAATACGCAGAAGTGCCCAACACTAGGCCGAGATGTTATGCCGTTACAGCGATCGGATTCGAGATTCGTGGTCTGCGGGATCGGTTTTTGGGAAATATTTATGATGTTCCTCGAAACCCGACTCAAGACGCCGTGGTGGCAGGTCCAGAAAACGTGATGGGCAAGCAATTGGGCCCCCCCACACACACACACCATAACCAAATTTCAGACGGCTGTGTATCCCAAGTCGCTGTGCCACTCAAATATAAATGTCGTTATGCCACGTGCAGCTCAGAAAATGACCAAGAAATTCCTCCCTCAGATTTTAAAAACAATTATTCGATGCGTAATGTAAATAAATGTTAAGTTGCGATCCCAGTCTGTATCAATACATATTTAATGTAAACAACCTGAGTTACGAGTACTCTCTGTTTTCACAGCCCGAGTCCTCACGGCTTTAGTTTTACACACAAAAAATACAGCTGGCTTCAGCTAGATATTTACAAAGTTAATACAAACAACAGACAAGTGAAGAGGCGGTCGATCATACCATCGTAAACACTGGGCGTATGATATATATATTCATGGCAGGAAAGAAAACTGTGGACGAACACCGTACACAAAGTTACCATTGCTGGGCCGAAGTCTGATCAATACAAACAAGAATCTACAGTCCCTGAAGATCAGGTCGTACCTCTGACATCACTCGCCGAGGCTGATTTCCTAAAGGAGTTGCACCAGCTGGATGGCGCTGGTGTCTGGCCTGCCTTCGGGCGATTTATCCGTTCGTGGGGCAGTTCCACTGTAAGCATCGTTTGGACAACGCTGTAATAAAATATCACTCCTCTCCCACCCCCGGAAAATCGTGTTTTAAATCAATAATATTGTGTTAAACAAGATTAGCAGAGGCAGCATCTGAGGTTATGATGGAAAGCGTACAGTGAGGTAACCTTTTGTGAATCCATAAGTGAAGTAGGTAAACAACTGATGTACGAGCTGCGTGAAAACTATAAAACCGTGACAGAAATTACCATAAAAGTTTCTTTCCCATTCTTTCGGCTACCGTTTGAAAATATTCAGAATTAGCAATGTGATTAGTACAGATGCAGTGAAGCTTGCAGACCGAGTAATCGATCACAATCGATGTGGGAACATTGTTACTAATCTTGTGGACCGCAGCATCTTAAATGAGCTGGCTGACTGATAGCAGACTAATCTAGGCGAAATATTTTTAAAAAGGTTAAATTGACGGGAACGTACACTGAATAGATAAAATATGGATCGCGAAAGCAGGAAATAGAATGTATTATTTTATTCTCTTTAACGTGTACAATTACACAAAATGTGAAATTGTATAGTGTAAGTGAGGGCCAGCAAATCAGTGAAATGTTACATGTAGCACCAAGCCCAAAACCTTATCTATGAATTCATAGTTTTGTCTCTCCGAGTGGAAGTTAGTATTTAAGAACCTTGGGTCAATGGTGGGACCATACTGACAAACAAGAGTTAAGCAAATGGAGCGCAAATTCGTATAAGTACGTGAGGATTTTTGAAAATTATTATTATTAAAATACGTCATACAAAGCAGAGGTGATGTGTGATGTCACCCCAGGAGAACACCAAATAAATACAGTGCTGTGTGTTCTGATTTAATTTTACTATAAGTTCAGAGTTTGTGATTGCTTTCAGTCTATGCCACAGGGCCCTCCATGTTAAACTAATAGTCTCTGAAATGGTCAACAAATTCATGTCCTATTATGTGATCCGAATATTTACGACAGCCTGACACCAGACCAAAACTGAGAAGAGACAGCAAGTCTAACTACCTGACCCAGGTCTGAGACTAGCTCAATCGCCTATTCAATGCTTTACCTGAACACGGAAGCATAATCCAGTAGTTTTAAAATTTAGACGATGAGCATTGTTCAAAAGAAGAATTCTATATATTGCAACCTAATATAATCTTCCATTCAAGAGTGGGAGGTGGTAAATGTAAATTATTTTATTTTGGAGTGTACTTTAATTTATTAATGTATTAAAGAAACATATGGCGTGCGAAATACTGTAATTATAATCTTGAGGGTAAATAAAGAGGAAAAATTGTGAAGTTATGTCTGCATTTTTTCAATAGTACCATCTTATACAGAGTTCATATTCGCCTTAACCTTAATATTTGGAGCAATGTCCCAAATTTGTATAAAATTGTTACTAATCTCCTGCCCATATACCATCGTTCCTGAATAACTTCGTCATTTTTTTCCATTTACATTTTTAGGGTCGTCTTCTTTTTCGGCCTTAACAAGTTCCCACTTGTCTTCTGGGTTGCAGCGCCGTGTAGTCTGGTACACGTTTACCTGTAAAACGACGGTAAACTTCTACGAGACTACACGGCGCTACAGCCGAGAAGGCAACCATCTTCAGACTCACCGCCGTGGAAACATTAAAGTTTAAGTGCACTTCACTTGTTTCGTTCTTCAATTATTTTTTTTTCCACTGAGTGTATCTCCAACACAGGGCCAATTGATGTATGAGTGTGCTCCCGAATTTAAAAAAGACAGCTGGCAATATTTTGCTGGATTGCATCAGAATATTGTTCTTTATAGGCACAGGCAGCTTGTTTTCAGTAAACTTAACAATATCCTTTTACTCTTGTCACAGAAATGCAATTGACTACAACAACTCGTATCTGTGTGCGCATCTAACCTTACTTATTGCCAAAAACCTGGAATTTTATTCGAACCGAAGTCCCTCTGCATACAATACGTTAGTCACTCAAAGAAAGTGTGCAGAAAAACTTACATTACAGAAAAATAAACAAGCCCTGTCAAAAAGCAATTGTAAATGTTCTTATCAGAATTCTTGAGTTGTTACATGTTATTATATCCAGCTTTCCCAATGTAATATTTGCATTTTACCATCAATTCCCCTCCCACCAAAAGGTTCATTTACTGTAATTGCCTGAATTTTGAATGACGCCATTTATACAGCTGACCACAAGTTAAGAACTCAACAACTTCCCTGCGCTATATAGGTGGCTTCCTACTTAAGTAAATTTTATTTATTAAGGCAACTGTCGGGAAATAGCACTTTTGCAATTTAGTGTACCACGGAGTTTCTTATACAGCCGGTGAAAACAATGCGACATGGCGCCGTATCGGACTTCAATACAATGTTTAATACATGTATATGTTAGAGGGTGGCGCTCTACCGGAGGATTTCATTTCAAATATTATACAGGGATTTACCGATCCTAGGCTTTCGTGTGTGCAATGAGCAGGGGCGCTGTATCGGGGTTTGATTATATTTAAAGAATATACAGGCTTCTTAGGAGTCCACACGTCAAACTGAAGTAATTGTTCAGGTTACGTGTGTTCAAAATCATTCAAAATTATTTCAATGCATATCCTTCCGAGTACCCATATGACGGTTAAGTTTTAATGGGCTACAAATATGACAGCTGTACATTACCAAATACACAGGGAACTTTTAATGTAATGTGGCAAAAACTATAAACAAAAATAAAGACACTCAAACTCAGGCCAAATTAAACTGACTCAATAGATGTATGAGTTCTGGTTTGTAGCGCCGTGCAGTCTGGAAGAAATTTGCCGTCGTCTTACACGTACTTTCTGCCTCCATCACCCCAGGACCGTGTAATCTTACTTCCTGCAGGCTTATGCGACCGCAGTAGCCAGTACAAGTTCCACAAGCTTGTCATGAAGAATGCCCATGTTCAGAGTGCAAGATCATTATAAGTAACCCACGGAGTAGAATTCTCCTCCAGAATCCAACAGAGCGCTCAGCTATTCTAGGAGATTCCCACCTCCTATGGAAACAAGTGGTTCACTAACGCCAGTTACCGGTTCTTATTATGAACAAAATCAATCCATTCCACATCTAGCAGCCCTATTTCCCTAAGTTGAATCTTAATATAAAACTCCCACTTACGCCCACGTCTTTCGAATTGTCTCTCTCCTTTTATGTTCTTCAAACAAAATTCTGCATGCATTTCTTATCTTCATGTGCATTACGTGCCATGCACATCCAACCGTTTGTAAAAGAACACTGTCTTAACATAAAACTTCCCCAGTCCTTCATTTATGGCAACAGAGAAACACACTTTTTTCTTAAGATAGCGTCTGTTATTCTTAGTAAACAGTACTTTAAGGCAGTCTTACGGACTGTATGATTTTTATCTATTTAGATACAAAATTCGTATAAGATTTAAATTTTTACAGAGGAGATATTTGAAATGTTATCCTCTGAATTTTAACACCGTGCAGTGTTGCATGGTACATGCTTTTTCATAAACGAATTGCGTTTATCGTCGGGGTCTGAAAATGGAGGCAGCATGTTCAATAGAACCGTTTGTAATCACCTACAAGCCTACTCCCAACCATACACATAGCACAGAGAACCACAATACAGAATCAAATAATCTGTATTTCACAATTATCCCGTATGCGAGGTGGATAAATGTTTATAACCTGTTTAACCTTCGCTCTGCCATTCAGTTATCTTTGTATTAAATGTCTGAGCTCCGAGAGCTCATTAGGTTGGGACATCAGATTCCCTTTAGACAATATTTCTCTGTCCCTGGAGTCATATCCCATAACAGAACCGGTTTTAAAACTCGACACGTCCCGGCGGTCTACGTCTCCCACTACGACCTTTCTGAGCCTCGGTTGCCATAGTCCACGGGGGTGAGAACCAAATCCATTATCAAATGGTTTCATTCACGAAATTCACAATAACCTCACTTTTACGCGAAACGCAGTTACGACACATAAATATCTAAAGAAGTGACACTAGATCCAACACCAGAGTTACAGAAAGTAGTTTGTATATGAAATACGTACCAAATATTCCTGAACACTACACTCAGCTCAACACAAAGTCTGTCCTCAATCGTGCAGCAGCGCACGGTTTCTGGATGTTACGACTCACCTGTAACAGGCAGAAAAAATACTGTTAACTACGTACTACAGCCACGGAAATAAGCCAATACGATTATAAAGGAGTATACCAATACGCGAATTAACAAAATGAGTGAACAGTAACACAATTTTATTTGCAGCCTTACATTGCAACGTAATACAGATTTACAACTACAAACCTAAACTGGAGTACTAAAATTAACAAATTATAACAAAAATTAAAATGACTGTCTTCTGGGTTGTTGCACCTTGTAGTCTGGTAGAAGTTTACCGACGTTTCAGAGGTCCGTGCTGCCTCCATCATCAGGGCGATCTTAAGCGATAATAGTAAAGCTCTTGATAAAGTTCCATGCTTCTATAATATATAATTCTTTAGGAAAGGTGCTTGTGTGCAAAAATCAAAGTATTGGGAAATGGTTGTGAATATATTCTACTGTCGTAATGCATTCCAGACGAATGTGCTGGGTCACGTCTTTAACTTCTTTTTTGTCCTTTCGAGGCATGTAAGAGGTTTTCAGCATCCAGATCTGATTTTCTTGACCACTGTTTGTCGATCGCGACAGACGGTCAACATATTGATCCCACGGTCTACTTCCATCCGCTGAAACACTCTTACTTGGCTAGCACTGCACTCAAAAATTTTAAAAACTGTAGCATATACCCACTGACAGTGATGCGGAACCTTTCGGATCCTGTTCTGCACGAAGATGCTGAAAGACTCGTTCGGGCTTTGTGCCCTCCGTGCAAAAACAAACACAAAGCAGTTCTGGATCACCAAATTCCTAACCTGTTGCGTCACAACTTCTGCTACTGCCACTGGTAGTGAGTGTTAATGAGCGTAGACTTCTCCAGTTGTAAATGACCTGTTATATTTGCACTATAATGATACTTCTCTGAAAAAGGTCACGCTGGGTCTCTTCTCTTCATCTTGTTGAGAAATGTTACCCACGCATCTTGCCTCAACTTTTTCAGTACTCTCAGTGAATCTTCTTGTTACCATTCCATAACAGTCTTGCTAGTTATCCATTTAATTATCAGCCAATCTACTCGTCCCGTCAGGAACTTACTACAATCAAGGTTCTTTCTTGCTGTGTAAAATGTAAGCAATCTTGTAAGACATGAATTACTTCTGTCTTTTACATGTCCCGAACATTCCATATTCTCGTTTCCAAAGTCTCCCAAAAATTAAAACTAACTAGTGTCTCGTTACAACTAATGTAATCTGCGTTTCATTTCAGTTCACGTGTAATTGCTTGCTTGCTTACAAACACATATATACATACATACTTACTTAGTTAGTTACTTACTTACTTAGTTACTTCACTGCCATCTAGGTCTGTATGTGAGCAAAATCGAACACATGTTGATATGCTTTTTTTTAGTAGGTTTCTGATGCTCTCTGCAAATGGCAAATTAACACAGGAAACCCACATGCACCCTGTGTTGTCTGTCATTGCTATAAAATATCGAAGACTTTATCTCATAATCAGTTCCGAGGTGAAAGAGGTCAGAGGTCGTAACCAATGTAAGTCGAAGAAGTAGTGATGAAACAGTTGTGCCACTTCAAGTTGCGACGCGGACGCGGTACAAGATTAGCTATGGTTATGTATGATATCTGCTGATAAATAAACATGCAAAAATAGTAAAAAAAAATAATGGAAAATAGTAACAACAATCTTCAAAGTCGATATGAGAATCTGATCCTGGAATTTCAGCCAATGGAAGACATCCACTTTGGACAGTAACGCGTGAAGCTGGCAAGTTTTATTATACTGTACTCGACGCTCGATCGTGTGGGTCGTGACGTGTTGAAATGGCCGTCAAGGGACTCGCATTTTCCTGGGTGCAGGAGCATGGGACCAGCCTTCGGTCACCCAGTTGCCTTATATTTATCAGACGTAAATCCTTTATATGGGTTCTCATGTACTGGCCTGGCGCGTTATTTATCGCAAGTTATTTGGAAATTATTTATTTTAAACAGTTAAGCGTATGAGTACCAACAATCAACCCAGGATAAAATCCGCAAACATTTTTTCGTGAATACCGTAATGAAATTCTGGGTTCCATAAAAGACGGGTAATTTGTTGACTCTTTGAACGACTATCAGATACTCAAGAACTATGCTCTATGAGTTTCACAGATAGTAAAACTACAAACAGTATTCAACGAACGCCATTGTCGAGTCGTTAGGACTTCAGGATTTCATGTGTTCAAATCTTTGCACACAGCCGATTATCTTGATTCAGGGATTTGCTCTCTAACCAAGATGTCGGGATAGTAGGCTGTTACTAAAACAGGCTGTCGATATTTCATTCCACATAGTTTCCAATCCATTAATTAAACTACACAAGCTTACTTAAAACAGTCGTTAATTAATAAACGAATAATAAATCAGAATAAATATTATTGCACCTTTCAATACACAATTCGCCTTGAACTGAAGGAGTTATATAATTAGCCATAAAAATACTTATCCGTTGAAATAACGTGTTAGCATTCTTTATTAATAATATGTAACTGGCATGTTTTTATGCTATGCAGTGTACACGGTCTGACAATTAAATTCCCGGAATGCTCTCTTATGTATCGCAATAACTAAGCAGCGACGTGTTTCGAAATGCCTGTGGTTGCGTCTTGCAAATAAGGCAACAGTAGTGGCATACTTGCACAAGCGTGTGTTTTCGTCCCGGCAAAAAGTGACAGGTTGTTGGAGCGACGCATTAACATCGAGTTTTGTTCAAAGTTTGGCAAGAGCGCGAGTAAAACCTTGCAGATGTTAACAAAGACTAATGATGCTGATGCTATGAAAAGTCGAGTGCCTTTAAGTGGCGTAAAAGGTTTAAAAAGGGTTGGGAAAACTACGACGAAAGAAATGGATTTTGTTTTTTTGTATTTTTTTATTACAAGGGCATTGTTCACTTCGAGTCTGTTGAACAAGGAAGAGCAGTGAACAAGAATTGTTATTTGGAAATTTTTAGCAAGGTTTACCCGATGCTGTTCGTCGGTGAAAAACTCAACTTTGGTCTGATGCTTAGAATTTGTATTAAGAAAAATGCTCCTGTACATGACAGACTCGCTATCCAGGCGTTTTTGGAAAAAAAGTCGATATTTAAATTAGACAATCCTCCATATTCGCTAGATATCACCGCGTGAAACTCAAGACCGCTTTGAAAGGCCACCGATTTTCAGACATTGCCGAAATTCAGGGACATGCGACGACCATCCTGAAAAACATTCCAGAAAGGGGGTTCCGGAAATATATCAAGCAGAGGAAACATCGACCTACTAAGTGCATTGGTGCACAAGGAGATTGCTTCGAAGGCAACAGCAGTCATTATTGCGTAAGCAATTACATACAGCTTTCGCGGGGATATTCAGAGAATTTAATTGTCACACCTAGTACTTTGTGAGGCAAAACCAGACAAATAATTCAAATAAAACATTGGAAAACTATCGCAGCATGAATTTTGACACGTTAATTATGACCAATAATATCAAGTATGTGATATATTTGCAGTAGGCTTAAGAATACACAATAATAAATGAAGTACAGAGACACATAGACACTCAACAGTGAAAGGAAATAACACGAATTATGAATTAAAGTGGACTGAAAGTACATAGAGTTAAAATAGTTAACAATGATGCTCATAGAATACAAATATATGTAATAGAACACAATATGAAAATAAATATTTAAACCACGAAAGAGAGCATGTTTCTACACTAAACATAAAGAACTGAGTAACATGGTGAATGTTTAAATTCTGAGACCTGATTTAAAATTAAATTTCAGAAGACATTTGAACATCCGTGCGAGCAAATTATTCTAATCTACACGTACCTACATTTCAACATAAGATATACGTTGGTGTTTGGTCAAATTAGATTAGAATGAACATATCTGTAGTAATTACCAAGGTAAACATCATGTGAAGATTTGTGGCTAAATCTGAGTACAGACCAAGGCCAAAATTGTTAGCGAACAACGTTTGCAAACAATGTCGACTAATACCCAATGCCCACCCCAAAAGTTCTTTTAACCTTCAGTCTGTCAAGAATTAAGCTAGACATCAAGCTTAATATTATAATCTTTTTCATTTTATTCCACAAACATTTCCGTAAATAATATTGTTCTACGGAAGTAAATATTTTTTGGACCATTGAATATTCATGTATAAATAAATATATGAATACAGGCATCATTCAAATAGTTAAAACAGAACTGTGTTTCTTAACTGATGATAAAAAACAATTAATAAGATACTATTACATTGCCTTTACCTATCACTAATATATATAATTTATTTAAAAAATTTCTTTTTGTTTTTGACAACAGAGTGTGGAAGTGGGTAAGGATACAAATTATTTGCTTTGAACGTTACCGCTTTGCTAAGGAACATCAAATATTCCCAAGAACAATGTTCTCAAGCCAGCAAATATTAACAAGAAACGCTCGTCGCACGTTAATCTGACAAACATTATCTGCGAACTTTGTTCGCAGATAATGTTCACCTTGGTCTATACTCCCACCCTACTTAATATGGAAGCGGGAGTGAGAGACAAAACTAAGAGACAAGCATAGCCAACTTAACTGGAACCAGGAAGCGCCAAATTTCCCAAAGCGTAGGTTGCCACATACGTATTAATTGAAAGAAAAAGGACCACACTGGACTATGAATAAGCAGTTTCAAGAAATAATTCCTCATAACAATTTTTCCGTTCATTAGTCATTTCTGGCATTACTATATTATATTTTAAACAATTTTCAAACGTTGGGAGCCACAAACATTTATATTCGCGTCATTTAAGCCTCAGATTAAGAAAATCTGTAACCCAATGAGACAGTGAAAATAATTTTACGTTTATATTCTGAAATTCGATCAATAGTTACAGAATCAGTTTAAAGGAAAAGAATATTAACATTTTTTCACAAACTAAGAATAACATCTTCGTTTAATTAAAATTGTCAGAAAGAATCACGAGTTTACTATTTCCCATTATAGAATTAATAAATTGTAGTTCTATGGCCATTTCGTCAAAAATGGCTTCAGCCACGAAGAGTGTTTCTCCTGCAACAAATTGATACGGTCCTTTACGAAAGTGGTTTCAGTCTACAAATCAAGTTTTGTACTACAATTCAAACCCAGGCAGCCTGAGTCCACAGCTTTGCCTAGCAACAGTTGGTTGTCAACGTTACACGTCACGTGATATTCTCGCCTTAGAGATCATTCCTGCCATTAGCGTTAAGGGTCGGACCGAGGGTATGTATATAGCACACACGCATCCACCAAGCAAGTGAAAGTACACCTTCAGAGATTGCAAGCAAATAACTCATGAGATACGTAATTCAGTGCTACTGGGTTTTTTTTTAAAAATTATCCACTGTCTTGGGTTTTATGTATTTCCAAACTCTAACATAATTGATGAATAGCTTACGTCGCACTTTTCTTAGAAGTTAGACAGCCCGCACGGGCAGGGAGTGTTGTAACGCAACAATGAGAACTGTGATTACCCTGTTGGAACTAACTAGATGGCTTTCGGAACCCGAAGGTTCATCACCGAATCAATCAAATCCCTCTACCGGTCCCTGTCCTGGGCCAACAAAATCCAGTCTCCTTCAACTCCTATCTCCCATAGATCCCGCTTTATATTATCCTCCCGTCTACGTCTAGGTCTCCCAGCGGTCTCTTCCCTTCTCTGTTGGAACACGTTCAATAACTGTTGGAACGCCTTGTTGCATAATAATTACCTTCAGTCATATTATTGCATCAATTATCTAAAGGCATTGTTGGAACACACTTTTCCTAAACAATGACCACATTCGACAGTGCAACAATGACAAACATGACGTGGCGTGGAAAATACCTTTAGAATATCAGTGCGCTCGAAAAAAAGTCCAACTTTTCAGTACCGTTAGCGTATCTCCATTCCTTGAAGGTAAGAATGTGGATTTATGTTCTCTGATTATGTCCCCAGTTTCAGGTTTTAAAGAACATTAACAATTTTTCACTGAATTTGGTACGAATATTGAGCCGTCTGTGGTCAACTAAACGTTTACTTTTAAGTATAATAAATTCACGATAATTATTAATACATTCCAGGAACATAAATTACCGAGGTTACAGTGACATTAGAAACACAAAGTATATAGTTTTCTAAAATTATGTATGGAAGCAGAAAGTATATCTTCCCATTTCTCCTCTTACCTCAAATATATTTCCACTTTAAGTGTTTCGTCTGACGGCCAAAGCTTCTCATCTGTTTCTACCTACCCATAGTTTCATCTCCAAAATTACTTCCCATGCTCGTCCTTATTTCTGTATGACATCTTTACTAGACAGCTGTTGACAACTAGATCTCTTTATTCTTTATCTCTTGGCCATTTTCCTATTCCTCTCACAACTTTCACGTTCAAAACCAATATTCGAAAAAATGCAGCTACTCACGGGGTAAATCTTACACTATAAGAGAACAACACGGTAGCTGTACAAAATATAGGATAAGGGACAAAATAACGTCACCAGTTCAAATAATTAGTCCGAGCTTTAAAACGGTTTAACGAAATAACTAAATCAATCTTTACCCGCCGTCCCACTTTTCCATGGGTTTTATATTCTGCGATCCTCACATATTTTAACAGCAAACCTATGAATTAGATTCATTGGTAGAGATGTTTTAAACATCCGAAGACAAGGCTGAATTACGTTCAATTTTATTTACAGGAGAAGTCTCTTCACCGACCCGGTCACGACGTGTCCTATTCATACAATAAAATGTATCCTGTTTCTAGCTGCAATGCTGCTGAAATGTTATCTATCGTCATTAGTAACTTTTTTTGTATCTGATTCGTTACATTTTCCGTTATTTGCTGAAATGTTTACAGCCTTGCCCATTTCCTCTGAGAGAACAAAGTAGCGTGCTTCAAATTGGCTTTCATATAACAACAAAGGATTTTTATTGTTTTACATTTCGCTTTTATGCCATCCTAGTGATTTTCTTGTATTCCTGTTTCTTCCATGTTATATATAACAATAATTTGTCAACAACTTCGATGCAACACTGAATAAAACATGACAGAATATTGAATCTCCCACAGAAATTTAAATCAACGATTTCCCAGTAAAACATTCTTTTGTTCAACGGATTTAAATTTCTTTCAGAGGGCCAAAGTCCTTTAAACAGCAAAAGATACAGCAGGCCTCACTTGCATATCTTCATGGACGCGTCGGAAATTCCCTGGGATTTTGTAGGTAAAGACGTAATCCCTGACAGGCCTAAACAGCATTCACTTTCACATGAGACTAGAACACGATGTAATCCACAAACAGCAGAATGATGGCTCTAACAATGCACATAAACAAATTATCACACTCCAGACAGATTTTTTACTACACCCCTATTAATACGCTCGTCATGGTTGTAGTCAGGCTAGTCACTTAAAAATAAAAATAATTAAATACAGTAAACCAACGGGGGCAGAGGATTTTTCCTCTAGCCCCTGCGTCCAGACTGGTTTTGGGGCCCACCCAGCCTCTTATCCAATAGGTACCGGGGTCATTTCCCGGGGGTAAAGCCAGCCGGGGCGTGATGCTGACCACTCACCCCCCCCATCTAGTGCCGAGGTCAATAATGAGTAGGAGCTATACTTCCTCTCCCTTTAAGCGCCTACATGGCGTATAGTGGGACAGCTTTACTTACTTTATATAATCTTTTATTTATGTTTACGTTTCAGAATAAGAAACTCATAGACGGAAGATACATTCTTGAGGAACTTAGAGCCGATTAACTTCTCAACAGATTCCAATAGTGTGTTTACGACATTCCGTCACCGGACCATATCTTGAGTCAGGTAAAGCCAGCCCACACTCTTACAACCTGTGTAATTAAGATTCATATCCCCATATTAACACCCAGTTTTCTCGTTTTCAGATTCAAATTCTGTATGCATTTCTCATATATCCTCATCCAAGTTACGTAACCCGCACAGCATACATTCTTGATTTGACAAAGTTAATATTTGCTGCAAAGTAAAAATTATGAAGCTTTTCACGTATTTTTTCCCCAATCTGCTGTAACCTCCATAGCAATTTGTGACTTAAACAGCCCTGGTGTGAAAATAGCAATCAGATTCAAGGAAACAGAACTGAAAGCGTAAGAAGTATTAGCTTAAACATGACTTAAAATGCGACTTGCACAAGCAATAAATTCCATTATCCATACGTTCCTATTTACGAGGGAATTCAAGGTTAACCAGGATTTTTTATTTACACGATACACACACACGTCAGAATCACCAAAATATTACGTTTTTCAACATTCTGTCCTTCAACACTGACACATTTTTTCTATCGCCGTGGCAAGGAAATTGTGCCGGGAGAAAAGAAGGACATAGGCTAACTGCGTAGAAAATTCAAGACACCACGCTTTGTGGCGCCAATCCAAGCTGGACCTCTTTGATTCTGGAATGAAGTAGTGTATCCATGTGTCGTTACGTCACTGTTCGCTTCATAAATGCGTTTCCCTCCAGTAGAAATCCCGTTCAGATGGTCGGCAGACAAACAAATACGTGTCTTTTTGTCGATCCTTCGGAACCCACTGTGCACACATTTATTTGAAATAGATGTTCACGAATAATTATCTATACACTTCCAATTCTAAAACACGCTGAGGATACAATATCACGCACTTTGATTCGTTTGTTTTCCAAAATCATATCAATGTCACATCTATGACAGTTGGTTGCACGTGACCATGTAGTCGGTTAACGCGATCTGTTCGAGGCGTTCATAAAATTTATAGCACCAGTTGCACGTGCTAAGGTCTCTTCCCCACATTGTGCACTTAACCTGCAGATAATTTCAACTGGTTTCATTCTCTAGATCACCAGAAACGTTATGAAACAGCGCTGTTCTACACTCTGAGTGACAAGTCCGACGCCATTTTGTACTGCTTGTAATTCGAATACGCGCAATACTACGTGTATTGGAATAATATCAGTGTTGCCACCGTCTGCAACGAATGTTATTTCGTCATTCTGGCGCAGACATATTTTTGTACAAAAATGTCAAAGTCAGAGACCCTCGTAACGGTCAATGTGGTTAATTAAGCCATCCTGTAGCACGCCTCATTTGAGAATGGTACAGAAATGCAGTGGTAGACGTTTTCAGTTCCACCAAATTATTATCCCGACACGAACTAGCCATAATATTACCACACAAACTTATATACACGCGGTGTAATGAGATTTTAATAAAACACTACTTCACTCTAACAAATAACACCTCAAAATAAGGTTATCCCGTAAACGTTACCTTACATCTTGTCAACTGTTATGACAATGTAATGCTAAGATGTTAGTGTTTAATTCTACCCTATCTCCGTTATGTTCTTGGTTCACAAACCTCAAGTCTAGTCTGTCCCTCTTTACCCCATCGAGGCATGAAATTATAGGCATCCGCTACTGCATATTTTAGAGTTGCGGTGTGCGAATCAATAGCACTAACGGTAAGTTAATGGCGTTGGTGCAAGGAATTCCTGAGCTGATAATGCATCGAAATTCTGATCACAACATTCAGAATTTATAACACCCATCCGCTGCGTGACAAGTACAAGTGAAGTACTTGAAACTGAAATTGCCACTACGTGTACAATTTGGAAGATATCAGACTGAACAGGCATTACAAAAAACACTTCGAGAAAATTGCACATCAAAAAATTTGGTTTTCCTTGTTTATGTAATCTCTATTTTTGAGAGTTATATATAAAAATGTATTGTGATATATTTTTATAGACCACGGAAAACTTTCCTTGAGAAATGTAAGATGAAAATGCGTTTTTAATCGTAGGATATGGAAAACGTCGAAAGAAATCGGTAAAGAAACAGAATTGTTTTCACTCTGACCACATGGTTTTCTTCTCCATTTACGCTAATAGCGAAGTTCAATAAATACACAGATTCGTAAAATGAGACAGACATCAGTCTGAAGTCTTCCAATATTTTGAGTTGCAGTTAATGTATTTGGGGCGCTTAAGGTGACAAGTTTCGAACATTAGCAGATTCAGTATTCAGATAGTGCTGCCAAAATTAAAAGATTCTTTTGGAATAGAAACCATGTTAAAATGCACAAGATAATTTTACATTTATTAAAACAAATCTTTAAGCTTATGGACTCTATCAGCGTTTTCAACCTTCAAGACCTGTGGTCTCACAGACCCCATATTATATTCGTACATTTGACAGTTTATTCACAATTACAGTTAAATAGGTTAATTTCCAACACTTTTATTTTTTAAATAATTAGATTATTTATTGCTGAAATTTCAGGTTCTCTGGGTAAAGAGCATAAAGATAGCTGTCTTGGTTGCTTTGACGTGTAGTATGGTCGAAGCTTACCAACGTTTCAAAGGTCCTTGCTGCCTCCATCATCAGCGCGATGAGTTCCCTTATTTGTACTCCTCAATGACCTACAAGTTTAATTCCTGAAGTCTTTACGTTGTGAGGGACACATTAAATGGGAACAAGAATCAACTGTTAATATTCTATAGGGCAAGCAAAGCCAGCAGTCATAATGGCTGCCATTTGCTGAATTTGCCATTACTCTGTCCTTAATTAAACAAGCTCTAGTAGAAAAGCAACACGTTTAGCGATGACATGATTTTATCTGTCGCATTTTTCACTCCAGTGTAACATCTGAATACACGGTGAAAATTAACATTACAACGGAAGGGATTTTCCAGCATCGTCAAACGTACTCCTGGTTTATGTCCCTAGAGGATGAGCTTTATCTTTCACGGGCTTATAACACAGCCTACACCGTGTCCCTCGGGTCAGAAGCGTTGTGGAAACTGCGTAAGTATTACATAAAAAGTAAAATTCTAGCAAATGTCAGTGTGTGGGTTTTTGCTCCAAACCAAACGTAAATGTTAACAAGGCGATGTGTAGCTTTCCACTTTCTGTTTAGATGCGAGCGAAACAAATACAGAGAGCATTTATGAAATTGAACCTGCACAGTATGGACTCAACCTTAATTATAATATCCATGAAAATAACTAGGAACTCTGTTGATACGCAAGAATAACACAATTATTACACACTGTTAACAGCAAAAGTTCGCAATTAGAAGAATGGCTAATTATAAACTTGTCTGTTGCGTTTGAAATGTGATAAACAACGTCACAAACAACATGTTACAAATCATCAGCATTTAAATACCACAAAGAACAATACACATTATAATACGAAATTTTAACATTGATATCGATCTCCGTGTGTTGTGTTTACGATTGGTAACTAGTGTGGTCAACACTTAATGGATGGCACCGCAATATCTTTATTTTGATTCAGGTAAGCAAAATGGCAGATTGTCGATTGAGTTTCGAGCAATGCAAATTCATTGTGTGTGTATATATGTGTTGAATGTGTGTATACCTTTTTCGGGACACCCGGTTTTATAAGATCTAAAATCAGTACCTAGTATCCTTCGGCCGCTTGGTAAAATAACCAACATCTCCTTCTAGTTCTAATGTAACAGACATGTTACACGACTTTGGTCTACATTAACTAAACTCAAGAGATCAGTTAACTCTATACAAGGGCGTGAAGAACTCATCGCCCGCTGATGTTAAATAGAACCTCTCCATTTTGAGCGCATGTTACTATTTTATAAGAAAATTGGGTTTACAAAATCTTCGCCTGTGTCCTTCCTCTTTCACCTTTGAAACCACGCTGACCGAACTGTGTGAAACTTTGTAAAACGTAATTACAGTAGAGACCACCTCATCCTCGTTCGTTTTAATTTCCTTACATCAGGGCAAACATGGAAAATAAACTTATGACGTCAGAGCTATAATAACAAAATTGAAAACGCACAAAGGATTGTGAAATTATAAATGGTCAAAAATATTACACATTTGTTGAAGTAATCTTTTTGGAATGTGAAAGAAAGCATGGCGGCTGCAAGACACCTCTACTTAGATTTTGGATTTATATAAAAACTAATAAAACACTAAAGCTATAAATTTAAAATTTGGTACGAAAACAGGACATGAACATACTTACAAAATAGTCATGAAGTGTTGTTTATAATTCAACATTTACCAAAAAGCCGACGCCAATAAATCGAGGTTCTGCCCCCCCAAAATGAATTAAGGCACACAAATTTTGCAGGCGTTTTTATAAAATAATTCATTTTCGACAATAAAATAGCAAAATACTAATTTCCTTAAAATTCAGCTTAATACTTTATTTTAACATGCTAACTCAACACCTACAGGAGTGCGTACAAGAAGATACAATAAATACACGAAACATTAAACACTAAAACAAGTGAAAACTAAATTAATACATACACTCTGTAACATGTTTATTAATACAAGCAATAAAATAATTCTGACTCGACCAATATTTCATCAGATTATTATTTGTTTGTATCCAACATGAAATACATAAGCTTGATTGTACTTTATTCTGACTATAAATATACATTATTTGAAACACGCCAATGAACAGCCGACCGACGTTTATGAGATATTTCGCGGCACATTCTGCTTATACAGTAGGATGTAGATACACGATTGTGTCTCTTATGCACTAGTAAACAAGTTCTTTTCATGGCACTACATAATAAATTGTTCTATTTTGAAGTGCTGCTACTTTAGGCACATTTTGTAAGTATATGTAAAGTACATAAAGGTACTAAAGGAACAATGAAATTAAAGAAGAAAGAAGTAAGGAAGATTCTAAATAAATCACTCCCATCAAATTTAAACAAATCTCTTTGCACTAAAAGAATATGTGGGCATACATCATAACAATGCACGTACTCCAACGTAACTGTTATCCACAGAAGAATGAATTAAGTAAATAAAAATATTATATTTAATATTCGTGCACCAAATGTCAAACAATTAAGTTACAGAAGTAAATTTCATTCTAGAAGGGAAAGAATTTGAAACGTGTTAGCTTCGTTACTAATGCAAATCTTCTTAACCTTTCGGTCCTCATTTCAGTGATCAGTCTAAACGAAACTCTTTTATTGATAAACCGGTCCTGCAGCTTGACATTCAAATCTGTCGTCAGGTCACAGCCTCACTAATGCACCTGTTCACTTCAAACTTCGGGTTCACTGTATTGATTTTTCAATTATATGTTCCCTTTGTTCAATTTTTCTCACTCTTGGCCATTTTCTCTTCTAACTTGAGGCATCGGAATTCTTTCTCACGTTGCCACACCTACGTGAAACTTGTCGTCTTGCTCACACCCCTTTTTGTGACGATTTCCATCATTTTACCATAAATGCACATCGTCATTTCAAGAGGATGGCAACACATCGTTCCCACAGGCGGTTTCGTTTCAAGGCGCAGCCCGATACGAGTTCTGATTCCAGTAACCCTACTTTAACCGTCACGTTGAATTCTTCTAATGCAGACTGAAGATGGCTGAATCAGTTCGATATTTCTAATTTCTGTTTTCTAGTTGAAATATATCAGCACTATATGGCTGTCTTCTGGGTTGTTGCACCGTGTAGTCTGGCGAAGCTGACCGACGTTTCAGAGGTCCTTGCTGCCTCCATCATCATCGTCCTGATGATGGTATCTAGTTGAAATATATCAGCACTATATGGCTGTCTTCTGGGTTGTTGCACCGTGTAGTCTGGCGAAGTACTCACCGCCGTCAAAACCTCAAATTTTTATATTCCACAGCATTAGACACAGTTGGTCATTAGAAATTAAACAATTTTTGCATATTTTTAGATAATTCATTAAGCATATTTAGGTCCTTTAAAACTTCATTGTTTCGTCATATTTTCTTCCATTCTTCGTTTGGTGCTGCATAAAATCAATTACGATTATGATTCCGTCGTTGTTTATAAATTTCTCATATAGCCAAAATTCTACGACGGAAACACAGATATATTAATTTGTCTTCCAAATTCTTAGCCCTTCTATTGCTTTGAAGGCAACAGACACTGAATGAAATTACAGAGTTAATGTTACATTTTATTTAACCTTCTTAACTTGTGTAATATTTGTAAGATCACAGCTACGAAGATAAATTTAAGGAAGATCAGGTTCGCGATATGTACATTATGTAAAGAAGCAACTCATTAAACTGAAATGAACGTTACTTATCAGCGCTGTACAAAAATTTGTATAGTGTAGGACGCTGTGTAGAAGGAAATAACTTTAAAATAGTGTAAGACACTGCGTTTGAATTTATGAATGAGGAGTAATATTTGGGCTAATATAAGGTACTGGGTAGGAAGTTATGTATTCGTAAGCTCTGGAGACAAAAATTCAAGAAGATAAGCGGGTTCTTTTTTAGCTTTTATTCCTTACGAAGGACTTACAAAAGAGCTTTTCCCGACCACATTACGTCCTTGCGCCCTGTAATGTTATTAGTCGGCGTAGTCTTGCCTCAATCAGCATATCTTTATAACGATAGGCATTTCTACCACGACATTCTGCTCGTGAATAACTCATGTTCACACACGTACAGCTTTAGCGTCAATGGCGTGAGGGGCGGCCTAGCAACCAGGGTGACCTTAACTTAATGTCAGGGCGGAGCCGTAGAGGGATTATAACACGGGGGTGTATCTGGTTCTAATTTCATGTCTGTACTATAATTATTGCTGGCCTGCGTTTCCATGGTGTATCGTATATAAAATGACTGACATTACCGACCAGGAAATATTGATAGTTGACTGAAACGCTTAAATATAGGCCTGTTGAGTAAAGAAAGTTACAGAATTGAATGAGGATACTATTTTTCTCGCGTGATATGCCTAATCAGAAATATGTAATTAACTTCCAACTGCCTAAACCTCAGGCTATGAATGTACAATTAGTAACACTGCACCAATTTGAATCAAGGATAAAGATCAATAAAAGTACATCCTATGTTAACATTGTTTTATTATTTAAAACTACAAAATCCTCCTCGTTAAATAAAAATAATTGCGGCAGAACTTTCAACATGAAAAAGATGTTTATTAATATATTAAACAGGCAAGTAAATTTTGACAGGCTGAACCCTACATTTCTATAAAAATCTACAAAGTATAAGCTACTTACTTTTAGCAATCCGGGCAATACTGGTCAGGAAATAGACTGCTGATTAATCTCATCCACCAGGTTAAGCGTAATTAAAGGCAGATGTATACTTTTCGAGAGCCGACTAAATGTATATCTAAAGAAAAACGTTAATTGAAAATGGTTTAAAGTTATGAAACTTCAGTAAGAATAACCGTGGATATGTGATTATTTCACTTTAATCTATCAACGACAAATTAAATTACAAAAAGAATTTATAAGAGAAAGTGGTAAAGAATTTGAAAGCAATATCCCATGATTCACCTGTCGGTTCTAAAGTAAATCACTAAACGCCTCAGTCAGGAACACACCAGAAGCCTTTATGGTGTCTAAAATATCAGGCTAACTGCGCAGTTTCACATTTTAAAGGACCATACATATAAGTCACATTCTAACACGATACGAGGCAATAACTTTAGATTACATCGCCATTAATTCAGTAAAATATGGAACAATTAAAGTAGCAATTCATCTTAACATTTGGTTTAATGTTAAGAACTAAGTTTTCCTAACGTCATAATTGTGAAGCATTAACGTAAAATTACTCCTTTAACTGTGAACTGGAGAAATGCGTAAAATATAACTCGTCCAACTTGAAAGCAGAATTATGGGTAAGAGAAAATGTGATGTTATCGGACAACATTTCTCCACCATTAAATTAGTAAATACAATGTTACACAGCGCACTAGACCGGTTTTGCTTATGGCCCCAACATCAAATACACAGAACTTGTAAATTACCACTGCGCTAATGTCGTAGTACCACGAAGTAACACGATGAAAGCAAATCAACAGGAGCTGTACTGTCTACATCATAAGTGAATTTTCAAGTCGGATCCATCTGCGTCAGTCACCTTTTAATATTAAAAGACTCTGTTAACGTTTACCCAATATCCGGGAAAGAACAGTTAGAATTTCAGTACTGTTTCCGAGCTAAAATATTACACATACATTTTATGCGACTCAATTAGACCAAAATTTAATGTCGTTCATTTTATTAAACAAATAATAACGACAGACCGTGTACAGGTGATTCTCGTTACATGCGGACCCGCTATCGTCATTTTACTTCAGTATCACCACAAGGCTCGCTTTAGCTTATATTTCATCCGCGCCTTCAAGCTGAGCTGGACAGCGTGCCACACTTTAAAAAGCTCCTATGGGTCACCTCTACCCTCACCTACTTCATCTCAGTAATCCATATCAAAATTTCATGCTTTAAGGTCACAGAAGAAACGTCGTACAACGTTGCAGCACGAACAGCTATGCACAGACGAGTGAAAACAGCTCAGAACTCGCAGCGTACCAAAGCTAAAAGCGCTGTCCTGCTGATATGTGCGGCGAGGTAAGATTGGGTGAAGTTCTTCCGCGTATTTAACTTGGTTATGCCTGCTATAACACTGACGACTCTCATTTGCCGTTTTACATTGTCTTCATTATACGTCTCGATTAGCAGGAAATCTAACCCCGCGTATAACAAGAGTCGTACGTAGGAAGAGGGTGGATAATATTACACAGTGACAGCCTAATTCTTACTTTCACCAAATATTAATGCTGTTACCAAATGGAGGATGATATGCTTGCATGGTGAGATGAAAAGTGCATAAAGCGAATTAGTATCACACCTAGAATTGAAGAGGTTACTGGGACACTATGGGTAATAGGAGGGTAATATTATGATGTGTGTTAAAGGAACGTGGTGTGGGAAAGTTGATTGACGTGATCTAGGTATTTCGTCCAGTGTCATCTGTTTCCAAATTTCTCTCTTTAAAATTTTCTTCATGTCCTAAGCTGAAGTCCAGTCTCCTCGTGTCACCTTGTTAGGCTATTAGTTAGTGAGTTGTGAAAACTTTATTATTTTGTTTTAGGACTTTTCCATTTTAGTCCAGACCACATCAGTTAGTTATACAGAATAACATTGTCATTGACAACATAGGATTTTTATCACCTGATGCCTTTTCGTTAGCCAGTTAATCTAGCTCATATATCTTTGTGTGGTGTTTGGAAGGAAGCGCACATTTTAAAAGTTCGATACTTGTTCTTTTTTTCGAAATTATATATTGCTTCTTAGCGAAGTGTTGGTCGGTTTGTTCCAAGTAACCGAATGGTACTTTCCATTGCACACGATTTCTTTTTCTCTTAAGACTAATTTATAAACGTCTTCAAAAACCATAAGTCAGTGTGTCGACCGCCATTTCTACTGACAGTCTCTTGTGATTTCGATCCAAACACCCACTTGTTTCATACTACAAAACCTTAAAAAGCGGAACGTACATGACTTATAATAAGCCGGCTTCCTTTCTCTTCGGGAACTTTACGCCTGCTATTACATTTGGAATCTTGCCAGATGTAATTTAACGTGGTTTCGAGTTATCCATGTGTATAAAAACTCCGTGCACTTATCGACAGATACACTTATTTGATGCAAATTACGTACAAATATCATCCAAGCAATAACTATGCCACATATCTCCATCGATATTACATCCGTCGTTATTGTTTTATATCTGAGTCAAAAACTCTTCAGTATTCTTAAAGTTGTAGATCTCAAGCCTTGGTATCGTAATTATCCTTGACCTCAAAACTCTGTTTTCTTTTGTCGATGAAAATTCTCTTCTGTCATACAAATCCAACACAGTTCCACGTCTACAGTACACCTCTACTGGAAGTCGTCTCGATTTGTAAACTTGTGGCAACTTGATTCTCATTGTGAGCGACACAATAAGTGGATCTCCTTCACCACTAGACTTTTCGTGTCCCAACAAATCCGTGAACCACTTGACTTTTTAAAACCACATTCTTCGGCTGTTAAGAACATGACGTCGAGAAATTAGTCATTTTCAGACGCCCACTCCTGAGAGAAACTGTATACTCTAAAACATAATTCTTCAAGGACGTCTACGCAGCAGTAAGACCACCGCTAGCATATTTGTCGCAAGATATCTCCGACTTTCGTTGATCGTTACACGTGCGTTGGCCAGCCTGCCGATTTAAAAGGGAAGGAGGGACAGAAATCTATGCGACAGCTGCTTCCCCCTTCCATAATCGCTTCTACTCTTGCTGTGACGTAACTCAAGCTTGGAGATATTTTTCGTAGAGTATGCTTTGCGTACTTAAGGATATGTCCGATGTACCAACTTGGTATAGAAAAAAAGTTGTACACTGGCATGGTTTATACAACAAAACATTACCAAACTGTAGCCTGACACAAAATTTCCACAACGCCACTCCTATAAGGCGTGACAAAACCCACTGTTCGACAGTTCCGGATTGATCGCTGAAAACCCAAGTTTTCTTGTTTATACAACAGGAAGTAAAACTCGTGATGATAACATCAACGTCGTATGGAGCTTGGAGTTTATTACGCAACTTAATGCGTATTATTATTCGAGAGACAGGTAACGTAACGCAAAGCCATAATGTACGCAAACTTTAAACTAGCAACATGGTCCTTGATCAAATGTCTGCTTGACGTATAAATTCAAAACCAGTTTACATTGCCTTAATACATTTTAATTCTATAAGTCAGATTAGAAACGAGTCAGATTGAAATGTTACATTATGTCCCTCAATAGACGGTCGTCGAAATTATTTAATTGATAATGGCACAATGTCAATAGCAAGTTTTATGAAAATTCGTTCAGCCATTTTCGAAAGATGTCATCACTTCTCGCATAGGATTACGGGTAAGTGCGTAATGGCAGAGTATCATCCACCTCAGGAACTTAAGCATCCGTCACGTTTGCGTTACCGACTGTAGGAAGTTAAGAAGTAGAGTTTCGACTGCCCTCTATCGCCATAACCTCCATTCTGAACTTCATGAAAATTCTATCAGCAGTTCTCAAGAATGTGACAGAACTGTAGTTCGCAATACCACTGATAGAATATAACACGATCTCTTCTGCTGGAAGACGCGACAGACAGACAGACAGACAGTGCTCTTCGCTCATCATAGGAGACAGAACACATGGCCAAGCCGGCCGGTTCCAAATGCTGTTGGTACAATTCATTATTGAGACTTGATAAAGTTATCTTAAATTTCATAATCCGTCAAGGATTTCGTTTGCTTATCTTACTTCTACTGCAGACTGGAGTCTCCAGCCACCATCGTTTAGCGGAATGTTATTATATTTTCAATTCATAACGAACGAGACACTGAAGGCTGTTTCTTATATAGCAGGTAGCTTTGTTCACTGAGAATTATAAACTAAGCTAATTATAATTATTCCCTTATTCATAAAACAAACATACACTGCATGGTTTATTTTTCTTTGTACCTGTTTAATAATGGTTTATATGCTTTTCTTATAGTCAGTAGTTTATTATAGCAATATTCAGCTGGTGTAATACTTAGTTTTTATTTGGAGGTTTATCAGAAGTGTAATGACATATAGGTCACTGTGTATAAACATAAGTACTAAAATTTTGGAGGAACATTCTGCCTCCAACTTCAGAGCTGAAGCTTCAATAAAGCGAAAACCTCAAGTTTCAAGTACCTTGAAAATAGTCAATTGCCTTCGTTCGGCCAATATAATTCACGTTCTTATAATTTATTTCTCCAAAATACGCTTCTATGCTAGGCTTGTATCTCTTAAGACAGGGGTTCTCAACCCTTTTCACTGGCGTACCACTAATTCTATTTAACACATTAAACGTACCACTAACCAAATGTGTTCAGGGAAAACTGTTATTTACATTAATATTAACTTTTGATTTTCTTGCTTAGTTCGCGTACCATAGGTTGATGAATGCTATCTTAAGACACAGTTTTCCACTCGGAGAGTTTTTACATTAAAATTTTATTTACATTTATCGTTTCCTTCTTGTGAAATAAATTTTTTGCCCGTCGTAACATGGCTTCAAGTTTCTCGATATCTAATATCCCCAGACCCATGCCAGATTCCTTCAAGACATTCTTTGCGTATAACAAATCGTAAATACTTGTCATGGACCGCTGGTTACTGACTCGATGGCTCGCTTGCGTTCCGTCACAGCGATGTGGTGAAGAGGTGGTTACTCGTCAGAAGGGCCATCACAAAACACAATGCAAACCATCTCACCAATAACAAACAATTTGGTGATAGCTTATAGGGCCTATTCATCCCGTGGTAATCTACACAGATAGCAATTTAATTACTGTAAAGCTGGCAGGTAATTCCACATCGAAAGCGACGTGCCAGGATAAAGCAGAACATCGACAGTACAATCCAATGCTTTACCTCTCACTACCAATATAAATCTAGCGCACAAACTCTGAAACAGATGCTCTCCGAACGACTGTCTTTATAGGAAAGGAAGACAAGGAAAACAATTGCACAGAGACACTATATTTGGAACCTAAAATAAATAAATGGTAACCGCTTATTACGATCCTGGTATGTATTAACCATACTTATTTATCTAAAACTGTTTCTCGAAAGTTAATTACGTCTGTCACAAGAGGTTGCCGTGACCCAACTGAATGCAACTACTTCCTTACGACCTATTTTAATATTATATTTACTACTAATCCTCTATCTCCTAAATAGTATCTTGTTCTCACGCTTTAAATAAAATATTGTAATCATTTCTCATTTCCCCCTTGAATCAACAACCTCAGCTTAATTCATTTCATCGCTCTAGAAATACTTGGTAAAAGTAAAAAAATATTAATATTATATTCCTTACTGTAAGTATCAGCACCACTGACTTAAAGTTAACATCACTTACTCTAATTTATTGGTCGCATGTTTCAACATCAGAGTGTCATCTCCTGGTTAACCTTTATCATAAATAAAAAAAAAGTGCGCCAACCATTTAAACACAGTAAAAAGCAGTGTAAACATAACTACTTACATCAATACCGGTACAAATTTAAAGTACTATTGCACAATCTATTATGTTATAGGCCTACTGTTTTACAATAATACAACCATTTATTTTTATTATTCATTACGTGCATAGGCACATTCGTTGTAATAAAATTACATTATAGTAGTTGAATGTTTACATTAGGAAAACCTTTACATTCGCTGCGATTATGTGTTGTACACATTAGTTCTAATAATCTGTGGGTAACCATATATTGTCGTATTTGTTATCTGTTGTTGTGATGTGTTCCTGTGTCTGGTTGCCCTGACTACTGAAATGAATGTACAGCGCTCTAGTACATGTAGAGTCTCTTCCTCATGTGGTATCTTGAATTTGTGGTTATCAGTGAGCCTAATCATATGTCCTCTATATTAATTGACAAATACAATGTACGTAACTGTCCACTTAGTGGCAAAATACGTAGGCCTATCTGATGGTACACTGTTAATTTATTTGTAACCTTCGAAAGTCAAATTTTTCCCCTGAT